TCCAGCGACGGTCAGCTTGCCAACGGTCGGCGGCAGGGACCGTCCTTCGATCTCCTCGCAGACTCGACACGTGTGCGACGTCATTGGCGCTCTCGCGCTGGCGGTACCAGACGAAAAATCGCTAAAGCATCTGAACAATCTCTTGTTGACGCTCAGTCGAACGCGCGATCATCGCGTAAAGGTGGCTGCGCTTACTGCCTTGGCAGAAATATGGTCAAAAGACGAGTTGGCGAGCACCCTGCTCGGTCTGACGCCAGAGAGCGTGCCGCACATCAGCGAGCTGCTCGATGCCGACGACCAGGCTACGCTCGAGGCTACCAATCATCTTGTCGGCCTCATCGAGGGCATCCTGGGCGAATCGCTCGATACTTATCTGCAGTAAAGTGGCTCTTGTACGGCGCTATCTGCCATGTATGCACACGCACTCATGTGCAAATATGCTACACGCTATCTGTCAAGGCTTGAGAATAGGAACATTGATGATGTGTGACGAAGAGCCTGATGTCGTATTGACGTCAGCAGCGTTCAAAGTCTGTTCTCGCGAGAGCGGCGGTGAACCGCAACAAATTCGTCGTCTTTGCCTTCGGTTGGCAATCCAGTCCGTCGTCGTCGCAGCGCGCCCTCTCCAATGTCGTGATCAAAGCCTCACACGTGCTCTCAGAATGGCACTTTGCTCCTCCTCTTCTGCTTGGCCTCCTGCAGACCCTAAAAACGCGCGCAGAAGAGATGCAAAGGGATCAGCGATGAGAGAGAGAGCGCTTTCATTTGCTTTCAAGCGGCGACAACACCTTCCGACTGGCCAGACCAGACTAATGACTACCGCAACACGATCACATGTTTTTTTTCATGCGTCACATGGTGCAGCCTTGGACTCACCTCCTTCCACTCTTCGATACTCTTGTCCATATTTGCCATCTTTGACTGCACATCCAACTTTCTCTGCGCGCCAAGCTTATCAGCTTGACGTCCCTTGAAAAGCTTTTTCAAGCTTCTACCCTTGTAAGGACCGAGGGCCTGGGCATGAGCCAATGCGTGTTGTCTAAGCGTCTCTGTGCTTTCCTTCTTGCCACCTCTTCCAGGGGTAGAGGTAGCAGAAGTCTCGGATGTGCTCGCAGCTTCCAGCTCTTCCTGCGTGATGGTGATTTCGCTCGCGAGCAAAGAAGCCGGCGGAGCGCTATCCCTAGCCAAGTCTACGTTGGACAAGCTAGCCCTCAACTTGTCCACCTTTGTCCCTCGAGGTAATTCGTGCAATTTTCCGAGGCTGAGAGCAGCTAGGGCTATCTTCTTTTGTCGTCGCCCCGAATAGAGAGGGGGCCACCAGGCTTCTGTCTCTGCGTTCTTGACGGGCTTGAACGGGTCGGATCCTTCGCGTGGACCAGTTTGTTGTCGCTGGGCGAAACGGTTCCAGGTACGCGCGGCTGAGAGGCTCTCCCCCTCTAGACCGACCAATGAGACGGGCGTCGCCGCTCGCAAGCATCTCGTAGCCCGCAACGCTGACATTGTCAAAGGAGGCAGGTATGCCTTGAGAAGGACCTTTGTACCTCGCGCTATGGAGGCTCCAATGAGCTCTAACGTCGAGGATTGGAGACCAACTGAAGAGCTGATGCTGATGCCCTTTGCTTACGTGCCGATATGATGA